GGACTTTGGCTAGCCCGCTCACAACGGCTCTTCTCAGCAGATCAGCAAGTGTACCTTGATTAGCCTGCTCACACAGGCTATTCTCGTCAGATCTGTTCCCCTCCTCTCTTCGATGACTTCCGTAACCGCTTCCTCATCGTCGTGGCGAGGGCGAGGGACACCTTGCACGACTTTCCTAATCCCCCTTTGCCCACTGTCCCCGCCTGCATACGCCCTGCGACGAGGGCTGGGTACACCGTGCATACCTCCCCTGCTCTCTTGTCCCCTTTCCCTTTATGGTTTTCCCGCACAGCTGAACGTGGTCTTTCCTCCTCCCAGGTCCAATCCGTAGGCCTTCGCAGGCTGAAGGTAAAAGCAGGGCCAGGCCCAGCGCTGGTGCAATGGAAACCATATACAGTCTCAGTGGGACCTGGCACTGAAACCTGCTGTAAAAATAAAGCCAGATACTTCTGTATGGCAGGTACTCATAGCAAACCTGTCACTTTTGCGCTCCAAAGCCAACCACGGTACTTAAAAGCAATTGTATTATACCAGTTACCAACACAAAAGTCGAACCGCGGTCCAGCTGTTGCTCCCAACACCCAGTTACCATGCTTGTTCCGTATCTGTCCCGGATCAGAATGTCGGGCCGAACCAGAAATAGCCTCTTGACAATTCTGAGTTGTCAACACCGAACTGAGAATAAATCACTGCGAACCTGAAAGTGATGTAGTGATGTGTATCATACCGATGCCGGATACCGTAGAAAACTGAAAACCAGGGTAGTACCGAACCTATTCCGGACCTGAAGCAAACTGCAGCCAAGGTTCCAAACCTGGAAAAACTGTCGTAGTGGCCCCGGTCCTGAGAATAAACCACCGCAGCTGTCCCGAACCTGAAAATAAGTCACCTTAGTGAAACAGCTGTCACCGGGCCTATACCGTACCTGAAGCACGTCAGACACCGTAGGACCTAGCCACCCCGTATCAACCCTCGTATCCGCACCGCACCAAACACCATAGTCGACCCAAGGCAGCACCTGTCCATGCGACCC